GAAGAATGTTTCATCAGTGAGAAAAGTAAAAATATTTTATTTAAAGAATCCGGATTTTTTTTTTTTTCATAAAAGGATAACTATGTGTTGTTTCCAGGTAAACATTTGTTTACTTAACAATGCAATGCGCTGTGAAGAGTTAATGGCTTGAATCCTGCAAGCAAAACAGCCACATAGCAAGTGATTGGGGGACCAGACCAAATCACTTGTCCTCCTTCTGGTTTTGAAGCCAGCTTTTTTGAAACTGGCTTGCAGTTCTCCGTTTGGGGATGCACTGCACTTGACATGCCATAAGTGACTCTTCCATGTCCAATCATCCTCGCTGGGTGTCCAATATGAAGGATAATTTAATACTGACTTCTCTTGCACATTAAATTGTTTTACTTTACATGCCCCTGTGTTGCACAAAGCCACCAACGTTATTTGTCTCGTGGAGAGGTTTAAAATATTTAATAAAAATGTTTCTAAGTATGAGAATGACATTTTGATTCATTTATAATTCTGGATTTTTTACTAATTCATAGAATCATTGAATAGTTTGGGTTGGAAGGAACCTTTAAAATCCAACCTCCCCTGCAATGAACAGCAACATCTTCCACTAGATGAAGTTGCTCAGAGCCCCATCCAACAGGACCTTGAATGTTTCCAGGAATGGCACATCTACCACCTCTCTGGGCAACCTGTTCCAGAGTTTTACCACTCTCATTGTAAACAATTGCTTCCTTATATCTAGTGTAAATCCTCCCCCTTTTAGTTTAAAACCAATACCCCTTGTTATATCGCAACAGGGCCTGATAAAAAATTTGTTCCCATCTTTCTTGTAAGCCCCCTTTAAGTACTGGAAGGCCGCAATCAGGTCTTCCCGGAGCCTTCTCTTCTCCAGGCTGAACAGCCCCAGCTCTCTCAGCCTCTCCTCATAGGAGAGGTGCTCCAGCCCTCAGATCATCCTTGTGGCTCTCCTCTGGACACGCTCCAGCAGGTCCATGTCTTTCGTATGTTGAAGACTCCAGAGCTGGACGCAGTAGTCCAGGTGGGGTCCCACGAGAGTGGAGTAGAGGGACAGAATCACCTCCCTTGACCTGCTGGCCACAGTTCTTTTAATGCAGCCCAGGATACGGTACCATACTTCTCCAATTTAGAGAAAAGGATGTTGTGGGGGACCGTGTCAAAGGCCTTACAGAAGTCCATATAGATGAAATCCTTAGCTCTTTCCTCGTCCACTGATGTAGTCATTCCATCATTGAAAGCCACTAGGTTGGTCAGGCAGGACCTGCTCTTGGTGAAGCCATTCTGGCTGTCTCTAGTCACTTCCCTGTCCTCCATGTGCCTTAGTATAGCTTCTAGGAGGATCTGTTTCATGATCTTCCCAGGCACAGAGGTGAGGCTGGCAGGTCAGTAGTTCCCACGGTCCTCCTTTCTACCCTTTTTAAAAATGGGTGCGATGTTTCCATTTTTCCAATCACCTGATTGCCATGACTTCTCAAATATCATGGAGAGTCGCTTTGCAACTATATCAGCCAATTACCTCAGGACTCTGGAATGCATCTCATCAGGTCCCATAGAATTCTATATGTTCAGGTATCTCAGGTGGTCACAAACCTGGTCTTCTCTTACAGTGGGAGGGACTTTGCTCCCCCAGTCCCTGCCTTGCAGTCCATTCACTCAAGAGGGGTGGGGAGAGAGGCTGTCAGTAAAGACTGAGGCAAAAAAGTTGTTGAGTACCTCAGCCTTCTCATCATCTGTTGTTACCAGTTTGCCAGTCCTGCTCATCAGGGAGGGTATGCTTTCTTTGACCTTCCTTTTCTGACTAACATACCTGTAGAAGCCCTTCTTACTATTCTTTGCGTCCCTTGCCAAGTTCAGCTCCAGCTGTGCCTTGGCATTCCATCCCTACAGAACTGGGCAGTGTCCCTATACTCTTCCCAGGACACCAGTCCCTGCTTCCACTGCCTGTGCATTTCCTTCTTGCCTTTTAGTTTGACCAGCAGGTCTCAACTCAGCCATGCCGGTCTCTTGCCTTCCCTTCCTGATTTCTTACACCTGGGGATAGAGAGCTCTTGCGCTCTATGGAAAGCATCCTTAAAGATCTGCCAGCTCTGTCAGTTCCCTTGTCCCTGAGGGCAGTTTCCCAGGGGATCCTATTGACTAACTCCTTGAAGAGCTGGAATTTTGCTTTCCTGAAATGCAGAGTCCTGACTTTACTCCTCGCCTGACGCATATCCCTCAGGACTGGAACTCCACCAGTGCATGGTCACTGCAGCCCAGGCTGCCTCCAATCTTGCTGTCACCAATTAGCTCACTTGCCGTGGTGGCCAACAGATCCAGTATCGCATCCCCTCTGGTGGGGCTATTACCTGGCTTAAGAAATTATCCTCAATGCACTCCAGGAGTCTCCATACTACTTTTCCAGCAGATGTTGGGGTGGTTGAAGTCCCCCAGCAGGGTGAGACCCTGCAAGTGCAATGCCTCCTGTAGCTGGAGTAAAAAGGCTTCATCAATAGGCTCCCCTTGTTGTCTTGGTCTTTTATTCTTATCCATAGGCTTTCGACCTGGCTATTCTTCAGAGACAGCTCTTCACACTTTATCCATTTCTTGATGTAGAGGGCAATGCCTCCACCCCTCCTTCCCTGCTTGTCCCTTCTGAACAGCCTGTAGCTATCAATAGCCGCACTCCAGTCATGGCATTCATCCCACCAACTTTCAGCAATGGCAACTCAGTCATAGCTTTCTAGCAACACAGTGGCTTCCAACTCCTCCTGTTTGTTGCCCATGCTGTGTGCATTGGTGTAGAGGCACTTCAGCTGGGCTGTCGGCCATGTCACCTTCTTAGTGGAACACCCCTTAATTCCTTTGGGGTGTTTCACTGGTGTATCCCTCTTGGCTCCTATTACCTCAGGAGTCTCCAGCTCACCTCCATGACTGCCTGTTACTTCCAAGTTCCCACCAGATAGTGCTGCTTTGGCTGATGAGAGAAGAGGTAATCTTGCAATGGGGCAACAGCAGTTCAGGAAATGGTAAAATTTGCCTTCTCTGGCACCCGTGAACAAGGGGAGCATCACTTCCCTGGGGGGGTCCATGCTGGCGGGGGATCCAAGGCACCCAAGTGATGCAAAGCTTCTTGCCCTCATCTGTCACAATCAAGGTGGGTAGCTCTAGTTCACGAACACAAACATATGTGCACAGACACCCCTACCTTACAACTAAATTAGGTTTCTAATTTCCATGAAACCCAGAGGAGCTGAGTTCCATTCCTTTTGTGGTCACTGGAGAGAGAAAGGGGCACCATTAGAGCACCCAGGCTAAATGCCAGAATGTCCCCTCTGCATAGGTGGTCCCTTTCATCCAGCTGCCCCTGTACACAGGCAACACATTTGTATCACTTTGCCCCTCTTTCTATGCACACTTTTTAAGGCAAGAATCGATTCAATTGACAACCTGACACTCCCTTATAATGAAAAAACTCTCTCACAAGAAATAGGGATATTTAGGGTTCATCTGCTCTAGAGTGTATCCTTAGAGTAGTATACCTGCTCTAACTGGAGAGTAAAGTACCAGGCATCACAAGTGTATTTGAATGATTAAATTCATTTGCATTCCAATTTCAAATTTTTAAAAATGATTTAAACGTGAGTAATTATTTAAACTACTTAAAGATGTTATTCTCTAATGGGGAAAAAAAGTTTTGTCAGATTTTCCTGTTGAGAAAAAGCTCAGCCACCAAGAATAAGTACAATCAAGTTTGAAGTGCGGGTCGCAGGTGTGGAAATGAGTGTGTTGCTAGAATGCTCCCAGCACAGCACAAGGCATCTCCCGGTCTGAAGCGCAGCAGCACCGGGCCCGATGGTGGTGGGTGCCCCAGCAGCAGCGATGCTGTGTAAGCGCTGCCAAATCACGCTGCGTGCACCGACTCATGAGTGCCCTGTGAGACATCCTGATAGGGGACTTGGAAGATGAGTTGCTCCGCCTGTGGATCTGGACGTTTGCAGAGCTGCAAGCAGATGAACTGTGCTTGCCTGGGGAGACTCACAGAGCCTAGGTGTGAAAGCGGCTTCTGTTTGGATGACCTGCAACCTGACCATATTTGTGTGCTTAGCTGCAAAGCAGGGCTTTTATTTCTAAGTATATTTGGTGGGAAAAAAAAAAAAAAAATCATCTTCTTCACTTAAATAGTCCTCCCATTTCAAAAAGGGGAATCCAGGCATAGCATGTTGATTTGGTGACACAAGCAAGCTGACTGGCTGATCTGTGGAGTGTGGAGTGAACTGATTTGGCCAGCAAAATAGCAGTACCCTGGGATAACTGAAAGACAACAGAAAAAGTGTTCTCACACACTTTCAATTGAAGGAAAGCACTCAGCTCTTGCATTCATCAGTAACTATTTAATGAACAATAAAAATAGTCACTTGGGATTCATTGACAGGTGGGAAGTGATTAACCTCTAGCAGCTATGGTGAAAATGGACCAAATTCTAGTGTCTGAACATACACAGTCTAATTGTTCTTGCCTTTTTTTTTAAATTTACTTTTTGCACTTGCAAAAGGTGTCTTCATTCATTTACTTCTATTAACAAACTAAGGAAGTAATTGGCAACACTTACTTTATTTACAGATTTTTCCAAGTATTTTATAATTTTAAAAAGGTTTCTTTTTAATTATATTCAGCGTCACACTTCTCTGAAAGTATCTGAGAACAGAAGGAGAACAGAAAATAGAAATCTCTTTGATCTTGAGTTACCCATTAACAACATATTCCCAAGTTCTCTAACTATAGAAGGAGCTGCAAAAAAATCCAGAGTGGTAACTCTCTCTATAATAATTCCTGGTTTTGTCTTTAAACTGCAGCTTTGGCAATTACACATTCCTTTGCATCACATAAAAAGCTCCACCTCTCTTTCCAGGATCCTCCAGTCACCCCACCTAAAACCTGTAGGAGAAGCAGGTTTTGAAGTATCCTCCCATTTATAGGGAAAGGGGCTAAGGAGCCAAGGATATTTCATTAAAATGTCAAAAGATTTATCAGTGCCGCCTGAAATCCCTAAAGAAGATGGCAGACCCAAGTGGGACAATAAGTTCCAGTATATTTTAAGCTGTATCGGATTTGCTGTCGGTCTGGGGAACGTGTGGCGATTTCCATACTTGTGTCAGATACATGGAGGCGGTAAGATCGAAATGGGACATTGCTGAAATATTAAACTACAATTCTAATATAAATATACTAACTTATGATGGGCACGGAAGTTATATATTTGCATGACTTTTCTTTTTAACTATCTAATTCTCATAAATGCTTTGCACCCGTTAGATTAGCTTTTTCTATAGAAGTATATTTAATTTTAAAATGATGCATTTGTTTAGGAAATAAGACCAGACTGATGCTAAATCTCAGCAAAACTGACGTTAAAGTTCTTACGTTGCTGCTACAGTTCTGATGGGAGCAGGAACTGAACCTGCAGCTCGTTACCTTAAGGAAAATGGAGAAGTCCTGGGGAGGCCTGAGTGAACCAGCTCCCAGACAAATGGTCGCTGCACTTTCCTTTGGGAAGGTGAGTGAGTCGCTCCCCACCTTTCTCTGATGCTCTTAGTTGCTGCCTCATTGTCTGGAACTGCCCCTGCACAAAACTAAATTGAGCTTTTCAATGTCTGCGGGGCTGTTTAAAATGCTCAGCTGATGGACCACCAAGAGGAACCTGCCAGGTCGTGCAGACAGCTGTCCAAGCCTGTCCTGGGGCACCATTCCCACAAAGAATTGCTTTAGAAGCAGCTGATTAGCAAATATAAATGGATCGTAAGAGAGTACTTGATAACTCACCATTCACCATTTTGAGATCTGCAGTGGTAAGCTGTCTAAAGCAGAGTGAGATAGCGAATTGTTTCAGCCCAGTATTATTCAATACCTTTTAATTAACTGGAGAAACATGAAATTCGAACCTGGAGAAACAGTCACACAACAGAAAAAATTATTAAATCCAAGCTTGTTCTACCAAGGTATCTGTATTACTTGATTAACTACATATATTTGAATCAACCAAGGAACCAAGAATGGACTCTGCTTTTAATGGAAGGAGGTGGTTTAGAAAGAGGTAGCCACTTAGAGACTCTGAAAAGTAGCTGAATGAATGAGGTATAGCAGGTTGTATCAACAAAGAGAATCTTTGCATATATAAGCAGAGCCCTAGGAAGCGGGTGGAGATATTGCTACTGATACTAAAGCAACTTCTGAACTTCTGACTTCTTCTGAAAGTCCACTTTTCACAGTCAACTTGAAAGATTAGACAAAATGCAGAAAAGCCCCCAGAATTCTTCAGGGTCTGTAAAACATATGGGACAAGGAATAACACAAGAATTATTAGCTATTTAGCTCAAAAAAGCAAATGGAAATTATTTTGGTGGCAAGAAGCTCTTTATCGGTGAACATGTAACAGCTGGAAGATACAATTACAGAAATTCAAATAAGAAAAGAGAAGAAGCAGTAGCTTAGATTCCTCCTACGAGACTTACATTTTCCATTATTTATTTGTGAGATGTGAAACCCAGTGAAAATCTGTCAGATGAGTGCCATAACTGGGTGGTTAGAAAGTCATCGGTGCAAGCGCGCTGTTTCTCTGTGTTTGCCCATGAACATGGCTGGGAAAAGCCTGTCACTTCAGTTAATGATACATGCATTAATGAGACATGATAAACACCTTTAGAGAGACATCCCCGCAGCAGAAATAGCACAGGGCCCGAAAGGAAGCTGTTCTTCTGGAGCATGAGCTGTAGGTCAGACAAATACTCTACAGCATCTCAGGTGGCCTTTCTATCTTGGAGCAAGGGAACGAGCATTCAGTATTAGCAAACAACACAATGAAACTAAAATAATGTAATATTTTTATAATGTAATGAACAATTAACACAAAGCATTCAGTGAGAGGGTTGAAACTAACAGACAGGACCATAGCAAGACACAGCTTCTCCACACATCCCATTACAGAGTTGCTGCTGGGGCCGCCAACTGCGTAAGGATGCATGAACTTTGTGCTTCAGGGTTTTGTGCAAATCTCTATTACAGATTAAGATGAAATATTGCTCTATTGCCTGTAAAAAGGCTCTCACACTTTCCCATGAAGCACCAAGGGTCGCTTGTCAGTGCTGGAGGCAGGGGTCTAGCTGTGGCCAGATGTTTTTCAACCTCTTCAGAGATCCCAGCCTCACTTCAGAAGACCAGCAACACTTGCCTCCTACCGAGGTTAGATCTCTCCCCTCCATCCCTCCTCTCCGGGGCCCCCTGCGTCCCTGCCCTACAGGCCTCTGCCACTCCAGGAAAAGCGTGAGTCCGAGCGTGAGGATGCCCACAGTGACCTGTCTTACAGACCACATGGCGTTCAGAAAGTCTGTTTGGTCACGTATCCAGCTTCTGAGCACTGCTATGTCCCGCAGGAGCTGCCAGGGACAAAAAAAAGACAGGTTTTAGAGCAGGTATAAAGATAATAAAAACAGAAAGATGCTGCAGGGACAAAGGTTGAGTCACTCTCTTGCATCGTGAGTAGTCATTTTGCCAGTGAAAAACTGGTATAAAATAGCTAGCAGGCTCAGTAAGGCCATACAGCTACTTGGCATCGCTACAAACAGCGGCACAAGGCAGTGGTGAACAAATGTCAATGTATGGATGTGAGGCCAATGTTTGGTCATAGGATTTTAACGAAGGGCTCTGGGAACTCAACAGTAGGATGGACTCAGTAACAAAGTGCTGTCAGGTTTGTGAATGATTTATCCCCGAAAGCTGGTGTTGGAAGAGTTTGAGTCAGTCATGAAGGCTACCAAGAAGACAAAGCTGTTAGGTTTATGCCAGTGTATAATGTGGTTGCATTTTTCTTCTGCTAATTTAAGGCAGTGGTGTGATTTGGGGTTGCATTTTTGAAAGTGAACAACTGAGATGCAAAAGCCCAATAGATTTCCAGGGGTACTGGAGCATAAATCCTGCTTGTGTGCACCTGAAGATGTGAACTCGGGGTAGACCAGCGGCACTGTGGTTAACCAGGAGCCCTGGGAGGTGCAGTGGCTCAGTGCCCACAGCCACAGCCACCAGTTCAGCAAAGCCTGGTATGGAAACGGCATAGATGTGCCCTAAGGATTAATGGCTTCTCGGGTACCGACCACAGTTTCACAACTGGTTCAGGTGATACCCAAGTGTTTAAGAGTTGGGCAATGCACTTTTCCTCATTTCTAGATCTTTTGAAAAACAAGTGATAAATATAACTCCTTATATGTTTGTCTCATGTCAGCTGTTCTCATCAGACCTCTGGACCTTATTCATCGCACATTAGTGTTATTCAGTAACTCGGATCTAATATAATATCAGTTTTGCTGACATTTATCACCCGCTGTCGTTACTGATTATTTGGATTTATTGCCTGAGTTAAGTTAGTTATTTACTTTTCATGACTAATGGATATGAAGGTTGTTTGCCACAGTAAGTGGAGACAAACACAGAGGTTCCCAGGCAACTGGGACTGAAAAGAAGTCTCTAAATGGCTCCGTATATAGTTTGTCACTTAAAACCAACAGTCAAACATAGTTATCTGAGTATACTACACCCCCCCCCTAAGTTCTAGCTGGAACTTACTGTATGTTGTACTTTTGATTATAGCTAGCATATACACCCTTGCCTAATCCATGAGTATTAAAAATGTGCATGACGCCCAAGCCTACAGAATAACTGAAAAATAGCTTTAATATAAAATACAGTTTCTTTCTAGGAAAATAAATACACATGAACACTAAAGTCCTGCTAAAAAGGGAGAACTGTTTACTTCTGAGGCAATGATTTACAGACTTTCATAACTCGTGGCCTACCTGACCTTTTGCTGGGATTTGAACCACAACTTGCTACGAAATGCAGTTGTCTGGCTCACTGTGTCCTCAGAAGGAAAATGAAATCTGAGAGGAAGAACAGGTATACCTGGAAGATACTGGAAAAAAAAAAAAAAAGAGTATGTTGGGAAGAGCAGAACTATTCACTCTGATATATAAATGAATTAATCAATACTCTGATAGATAAATGAATTAAGTTACAACAAGCAACAAACTGATTTGCCCGTACATCGAGGAGTTTTTTTCCTTGACCTTCTTTTAGTAGTGCATGTATCTACTTGCAGGATGGAGGCTTTATGCATTTTGAGTGTCTTTCTGATGGATGGAATGGTGCAGACAAAATTTTTCCTAGGTCATGCCTCGAGGATGCAACTAAATCATGCCCTAGTGATAGTTTTGATTTTTATGGGTCTTTCTCCAGGCTTTTAAGGTACTTGCAAATGTTGGTCACTATCATTTTCCGTATTCATTTTTTGAGACAAAAACAGTTACCGAAGGTAAACTTTTAGAAGTTCCCCCCTGGGGAACCTTTGATTCTTATGTGTGTCGTTTATTTTTCTTTCACTGTGGGGCATATAGGTCTAGAACAACTGGATATAAATATACCTAGAATATCCAGATAGAGAATAATTTGCTACTGGCACTTTATGATTGTTTTGCTAAAGTTTCCTTTTCCCATGCCTCATGGGAGCCAAACCTACCTAGTTTCTGCTGTACCTGTGCTACACATCAGATGGGTGCCCATAAGGTTTTGCACTGCCCGTGTTTGAATGCTCTGGTTTGTGACACATGCTCTGTGTTAGGTACCAGCTGGCTGCTTCATTCTGCTTCTTGGATGTTCTTCTTGCCTTTTCCACACTTAGATTTCTCATGGCATATTTATTTTTTTAAAGTATTTAAATTCTGCCTTCTGGCACATCCTTACCTGTCAATTAAACAGAGCCCTTGACTATACAGTGCTAGAGGGTTCCCACTCACTATTAGGTATCTGATACGTTTCCAGTATTCTATTTCTTTCTATGGGTGGGGGATTTTATTGTGGAAAAAAGTAAGCTTCAAGTGCTTGAGCAGACTCTTTATGCTTTTCCTGACTATTTCCTTTTTGCCTAAAAATACTGTAAAGCAAAGGAATGAATAACTGAAAACATAATTTTACACTACAAAACATTTATTTGAATTAGGTTTGAGAAAGATTAGCTCTGCTAACTATTTCTTCTTAGCCCAGTCTTCTGCTGTATTTTCATATTTGCAGGTAGCATACTTTTTATATTGTTCTAATGGAAAACCAGTATTTTCTTTCCAAGTGTGACATTATGTTTTGCCGTGCTGTAAATATGACTGGAGATACGTACAAACCAGTACAAAATAAACAGGCTTTTATCAGCTGAATATCTAAACATGCTCTGCTGTCAGTGGTTCAACTAGCAAACAGAGCAGGAGAGAGAGATAACAGAGGGCAGTTTGCACTAATTATTACACAGTTATTTCCAGGGAGATATGATACGGGAGATAGGGCGGTCCCTTACGGATCGCTCTGCTATCCAGGGCTCGGCATCGCATGGATTGCAGCGAAACGGCTGCTGCTCGGAGCTTGTGTGTGGCCAAAGGCAGCTGGGCAAGCATGCGGAGTGGTCCATACTGCGGTGCTCCAGTCACTAGCGTGAATATTTTGCTTTTCCTGGGAGCCAGCCCCAGGCATGGGGCTATCAGGAGGGCTGGGCGGGCGCCCTCAGGAGGGCTGCCGAGGGGGATATTGCAGCAAGTTTGAAGGAGAGCGCAGGGCTGAGCATGGCGAGGGGTTACTGAGTTCTTGCAGAAGAGACCTGCAAATTCCTTAATATTCACATGGGAGCTTCGGTAGGTAGCTCCAGGTGAGATTTCATCAGGTGGTAAACCACTTTAAAATAAACAGACTACTGTGGTCCTTAACTCCTGCTGTAAATCTCTCTCTTATGTGGGGTTTGTAACAGCCACTTTACAGCTTCCTCCAAGCAAGGGGACTACGGAGCAGGGGTACCGAGGATCCAAATTGAGGATTTAACATACCGGGAATTAACTGCGAGGCTCCTTTTTCTTTTTTTTTTTTTTTTAAACTGCAGCTTAGCAGTTAAAAACATCTTAAGAAATCAGATCATAAGGAGGGACACCTATTTCACCCTTTGGCAAATTAAGAACTGTCCTTCATTGAGAAGTGCTATGCTGATTGTTGTTCCTCTGTATTTCTTGATAAAGGGCTGAACTATTACACAACATACTTTCGCCGGGTGTTGTATGCAGTTATTGCAGTGCCTCGCAATAGGTAGCACGGTTATTGGGATACCGAGCCCAAGCGATTTGATTTATCTGCCCAGCCTTTCTAAACAGTCCGTGATTGCAAAACACAGGAGCCGTTCCAGGAAGAGACCAGAGATCCTTGTGCATTCCCTCACCTCCCTCTCCGGGCTGAAGACGGAGCGGAGAGCCGAGCTGCTCCGCTCTGCTCTCTCAGCTGGTGATGGTGAAGCCGCTCTCCCTGCCGGCCTGCAGGGAGAGCAGGAGGTTTCCAGAGCTGGAAGAGCAGAGCTGGGCAGATTCAGATATGAGATCTGGAACCAAAGTTGAAATGGTATGACAAGGCACAGGCTTATTGAGGAGCGATGAGGAGCACAGAGTCGGTGGGAGGTGGTGGGAGGACTGAGAAGGGGCCGAGGCAGGACTTCTGTCTTTGTTTCCCCAGAGAAAAGAGGCTTCGTGGTCACAGCCATTGTTGGTCATGGCAATAAAATTCAATCTATTAGACCATTCTAATTTAATTGGTCATATGGGAACGTGCTTTAAACATAGTGATGAAACCTCTCCTGGTTTCATGAAAATCAGTATCTGTGCAAAGGAGGGAGACCCAAACCCGTGTCCCTTCTGAAGGAAGGCAGGGGAGATGAGACATTGCACACCATATTTTGCAGGGACGGGACAGGCTGCTGACAGGATTGGTACCCGTCCACCGGCACCCTGCAGGACGCGCTGCCTCCGGCCCAAGGGAGCTGCTGTGAGAAAAACAGAGAAGATGCAAAGGGTTTCAGTGCTCCCACGTCTCGCAGCACAACTTCAGCCTTGCTTTCAGTTCTTCCTTAGCCAGAGCCTCTGTGCTCTGAGCAGCACTTCATGCAATAAAGTACCTGGTTTCTTGGGGGTCTCCAGTGCTTTCCCAGGGGAGGACAGAGGAGCACACGCCTGTGAGCTTTGGGAGGGAAACAAGACAATGCACTGAAGGGGAAACAGATGGTATAGGGGAGAGGCAAACCCTCGTGCATTATGAGCAGGGGGAGAAAAGAAGATGCTTAAAAGAAAGGGAAATGGAGAAAATAGCAAGGCTATTTATAATGCGCTGTAGCAGTGCCTGAGGGGAAGCGTCGTGCAGCAATAAGCATCCCAGTCCTTCCTCCTACATCTTCACCAACAAAATTACTAGTAACAGTTGTTACTTGGCAGGTATCCCTAGCAATGCTCCCTCTCTCAACGCATCCTACAAGGATTTGGGTAGGGTTATAAAGCAGAAAAGTTATCAGAGAGTAATTTCAGTGAGATGCAGAAAATCATGTGGCTCAACTGCACTTAATTGTGTTTCAGGGGCGTTCCTGATCCCATACTTCATTGCTCTTCTCTTCGAAGGAATCCCACTGTTGCATCTCGAACTGGCCCTTGGACAGTGCCTGAGGAAAGGCAGCATCGGTGCCTGGAACACCATCTCACCTTACCTCGGAGGAGTCGGTATGTCTCTCGGGGTCCTAGCTCAAGGAACCAGAGCTGAGCTGCCACCCAGCACTCACTTCCCACAGACCTGTGCCTGGTGCTTCTTAGGATGTAAAAAGAAAATCTTTACCATGAGGGTGGTGAAACACTGGAGCAGGTTGCCCGAGAGGTGGTAGATGCCCCATCCCTGGAAACATTCAAGGTCAGGCTGGACAGGGCTCTGAGCAACCTCATCTAGCAGAAGATGTCCCTGCTCATTGCAGGGCTGCATTAGACTAGATGACCTTTAAAGGTCCCTTCCAACCCAAACTATTCTACGATTCTGTAATTATCTATCACTCCCATCAGGTGTTACTTTAGGTCCATGGGAGCCTTAAATGCAAACCTTCCCACCTTTGCTGTGGGAAGCATTACGAACACGAGCTCTGACAGCCAACACTGCCCCATTCTGACCATATCTTGGAGCCTACACAAGAGCCGTGTGACCCCAGTGCTTCTCGCTCCTCCCTTGCAGCCCCTCCAGGAGCCAGTCTGCTCTGTCCAGGGGCAGTCAGACTGGAGAGAGGACAGAAAACGAGGAAATCAGGAACGGGAGCCTGGCACCTCCTAAAGAGCCCAAAACAACTGGGAAAGTTACCCTCCACAGAGAGGTGCACAGTGGGGCTACTGAAGGGACATTAATTAATATGGATGGGCACAAGGGACAATCCACATGGCAGTGTGCACCAGACCAGTGTGCAGTCCTGGACTGGCATTTCTTTTTTCTATTTATTTCATTTAATATATGCTGAAAAAACTGTATCTCGTGTCCTGTGCACATTGTTAGGCTGGAAGCGAATGGGAGCAGCCACCCTTAGAGGGCTGAACATCAGCTCTACAGGTTTTGAGACAGCACCCTCCTGCTGGCAGGGGCAGGGAAAAACCCTCAGATGCTCCAGCCAGGACTGCTGGATCATGCCCTGCTTTAAGCGGGTACCTGAAAATAGGATTGGTAGCGAGAGCCATGCCTGTGGGGGTGTGTGGTAGGAGAAGGGGTGGGTAAGAGGAGTTATCTGAGGGCCAGAGGGCAACCAGGAAGAAATACCAGGCAGCAGGGTGGTGGCTCCAGCTAAACCCATCTCCTACAATTAGGCATGTCCATCCTCCCTTCGCAAAAACGCAAGCAAGCAGAATCTGTGGTGGTGTTATTCTTCCTTCCTTATTGTAGGAGCAGAACAGTTACCAGTTTAGAGCATATGTGCATGATTTGCCACACAAGAGTGCCCTCAGGCAGCTATAGCATGCTGCGAAACTCCAGCCTCTTTTGGTCTCTGCTATTAAAGTTATCCCACGTTGTAGAAAACAATGTATTATATACTAGAGCAAAGATTTCAACCCTGATCTTCCGTGTAAGTGAGGAGTGTCAGCCTTCTTGGAGCAGGGCTGGTGAGCTGGGGGACTGTGCACCAGTGTCTGGCTCCTGAGAACACAAATGCCCATCTTTCATGTGAAAAAATCTCTGGAGCGGAAACAGAAAATCTTGAAAAATTAGGAAATGCGAGCTTCTAAGAGCAAATGCTGTGACTGATATTTTTTTCCAAAGCTTTTGTAAGGTGAGATCTTGTGCTTTCTGCAGGGGTTGGTTCGTGGATGGTGTCGGTTCTGGTGAGCTTATACTACAACACCGTTCTAACGTGGGTGATGTGGTATTTCATAAACTCCTTCCAAGAACCTCTTCCTTGGAGTGTTTGTCCTCTAAATGAAAACAGAACAGGTAACTACTATTTCAAGTGTCACTGCTAGCAAAAGGAGGATCACAAACGTCACAGTCTGGGGGCTAGCAAGGGCAAGAGGGATGTTTTGTTTATTTTTTTATGCTTGTGCTATGATACAAATACTAGTCTGAAAAAGCGCCCTCTGCTCTTTGCCTATGGAGAAATAGTGCTTTATCAAAACACATTTGTCTGTTATCATAAACTGTGTATCAAGACACGTGAGATCGTTAGCATAATTAAGAACCGAACTTATGACTACATCTTTCAGTAACTGCTTTAAATGAGACTTTCATGTTGTCATTAGGTGGTGATGCACTGGTTATGACTCACAACAAGCTCTTATAGAGACCTTTCAGCTCATTTGCCATGAGAAAGATCAGCTGAGTTGCCAGAGCAGGAAACACAACCCTACTGGCGAACTTTAGTTTCTGCCTGTAGATTGCTAAGAGTGGTATAAAATAATATAAAAAATTAAAAAAAAAAAAAAAAGAGAGAAAGAAAAAGGAGCAACTAAATAAGCGAAACACTTTTGAGGTAGCAGAGAAACTTCTTAAAGAGGGAATCTTTGAGGCTTAGACCAAATTCACACTACCTATTATGAAACCTTTACTAAGACCAAAGACAGTGTACCTAGGCAGGATAAGGAAGGCTGCTCTCAGTTCTTTAAAATTATTTTTTCAGCTTTCTTTTTTGTTCAGAGCATGAGAGACAACAAGCTCCAGGGCAGAGCAAGAAACACAATCTGAGTAAGAGGCTAAGGAAAAAGACAAAAGACAGCAGAAGTCAACTTTCTTTTGGAGACCTTAGGACTATTCCAGAGTAGGAAGACAATTAGATGTCCTCCCGTCTTTGTTACAGAAGTAGAGAGAATTATTTGGGTCTTAAGAAATAGGATTCTTTCATTTCTCAGATGTTACAACTAGTGAGCTAAACAAATGTTTTCCAAACCTGCTTTGGGAGATCAACTTTTTAATCAACTATATTGGTATACAAAAAACCTGAATTTTTAGTTAAGCATCTTTTAGAAAATATTGAAGAGGTCCTTTAATGATGGATTTCTCAATACCAGTGCCAAGATGGGAAGAACCTGCACTTCTCCATCATGATGGCAATGCTCTCTCCAGGCGAGCTGCTTCCTAAGTGAGTCAAGAAGCAGCTGTTCCCATCTGCCAGGCTCAGCTGCACACAGACTAAAATGGCATTATTTCAGGCTCACATACTGGGACTAAAGGGTGAAGAGCAGCCAAGCTTTTCACTACATAGCTCGTTACCCATACACCCTGCTGCTACCCACAGATTTCATTCAGCAGCCAAAGAGTGTGTATTCAGAGGTACCCGGGATGGCACTGGTCAGTGCGTGTCTAGGTGCACATCCGATTCTTTTAATTCGGAGCTGAGGAGAGGACACCAGCAAGGCTGAGTACATGAGCGTCCTCATACACTGAAAGAGCATCACCAGCTTCGGGTGTAATGAAGTTTCAGTGGCAACCGCACTTTCAAGTGTAAATTTGTCACAGGAAAGTCACTTGGCTAAATAAGGAAATCACGTACCTGTAAATTACTTCATTCTCCACCTTGCAACCTCACCAGAGCAAGATTTGTTTGAAAAGTTTCATAAAGCCACAATGACCACAATCACGACTACTCCTCTCCATCAGCCTTTTGCCAGCGAGGCCAGCTTTCCCAGAATTTAGCCCAGAGTTGAGGTCAAGATTTTGCCGCTACTTATTCAGGTCGCTTTTCTTGCTTTTCAAAGGTAGGTGCCCTAATTCTTTGTCTGCTAGAATTTCTGTAGTATTTCAAGATTTACAAACCAGGAATCTCCTCTGCTGTCTCTGCTGGGATTCACAGCATCCATTCTATTAAAAATGTATTATCTGTAAATTATTTCTAATGTAATCTACATCTTCCAGACACCTTTTACTACTTGGCAGTCCTGTTATGGCTTTACAGAAAAACGAGCAAAATGATGATTCACCAGTATCAGCTATTTTACATCATAAATAACAATTTTATGATGCCTTCTGTCAGGGTTTCTTTTGCTCTTTCGAAAGATCTTCCTGTTCTCTTCAACCCAGCTAGGGCTGACAGCTCTGCTCCCCAGGGTTAGGTTGTGGGGGGGCCTCTCCTGCTGCTGGGGCACCATTCCACAAATCTCTCCCAGAATCAGGCTCCTCAGTTAGTCCTTTCTCCCAAACCAGAGCAGAAGGACCCACAGCCACCATCTCTTCCAGAGGCTGGAGGGCTGTGAGGTGAGGATGGAAGAGACACAACACTTTGCTTCCTCCCTTTAGTTGAAAAATACTTGAATTAACACCACTGGCGTAACAAGAGACTCCCTAAAAGGAATTTATGAGGGCAAAAAGAGAACCAAATTTGGTTCACCATCAAGATCAGGGAGCTGGTCACCTGGGAGCACCACGGTGTGCTTCCCAGCTGCAGCCACGGGGCAAGGAACTCAGGGGATCCCTGAGCTCTGCTAGTAGTGGCTTAATTGCCACAGTGTTGATTCTTTTGTTTTCAGAGTTTTGTTGTGAGCGGTGGGTTTCAGAAGTGAGTGAAAGGTTACAAGAAAGGGAGGAAATGGGCCAGTTTGAGAGCTTGACTGAACATTTGTTGATTTCATCCAACAGGAAAAAATTCAAAACAGAGGGCAGAGTTGTTTCTTGTACCCACAGGATTATCTTCCTAAAATATATGCACATGCCCAGCTCTGGCGTTTGCACAGCAGAGTAAGGGAGGTTTCCTGTAGCCACTTACCTCATTCAGCCACCGCAAACTTACTACCAGTAAATGCAGCACCAAGACGTTGCTGAAATGCAGCGTTTGATCACTCTCCTGCCCGCAGACGTGCTCCTTCCCTTCATATAGTCACGGCAGGATGACTGACTGACCCTCCCGTGCCAGCAGCATCAGCGGTCCTTTCTCCAGCCTGGGCTTTCAGCCCTTGATGGCAGGAGAGCGGCAAACTGCCTTGTGCGAGCTACTCTGCTTGCTGCAGCATGTAATCCCAGCAGGAGTAGATAGCCAAAGCTCACAGGACTCGAAATCAGGGAAGAAAGGGTGAGGGGAAAAAAAAAAAAAAATAAAAAAAAAAAAAGCTATGCTAAACTTGAGTGGGATTGCGTGCAAAGCAGTAGCTTCAGCAGATGCTGCAGGAAAAAATCAGTGTACTCTCCTAGGCAGAGGAAGAGATGCATTTAGGTCTCAGCCGGCAGGGAAAGGAAAAAGAGCTCCCCCAGCACTGGTGCGTGCTGGACGTCCTGGTTACAGGGACTGCTGTCAGTGCTGTCTCCGCGCTGGGAGCTCCTGCGAACGCACAGGGCTGCCTTGGGCTCTCGGGACTCACCTGATTGCAGCTGGGAGCAAAGGCAGGAGCTGCAGCACATGTGCTTCCAGCTAAAGACAGCAGGTCAGTGGGTTTCCTAAAGATCCTCTGTCAATCTCCTCTTCAGGCATTCAGGTTGCACGCAGGCAGAGGGGTGAGCACAGGTCGTGGCACATGCCATGTTCCCAGTTCCCTCCTCTCCAGGCACAGAGCCTGGCTGGGGAGTGCCCGGGGCTCCTGCTCACAGAATTCCTGGAAACGTGAACCAAAGAGGCTGATGCTCGCGTCTTGCCCCACTACAGGGCCATGACATAGCCCGGGGGTCCTGGGCTTAGATGTATCCTCAGGTGCCTGAATCTTGTTACGGCTCCACCAACTTTTAGACACAGAGCTAAGCAACTCCACAGTCTCCGCTGCAATTACAGTTCAGATTTTACCTTGTACTGACTATGACACCTTTTCTATTTAGAAAGTTATGGCCTGCAGCAATGCTGGTGATGTTCTGGTGGAGGTCTCACCTAAGTCTTGCAGTCTCAGCCTGTTGTGACAGAGTTTGTCTTGCTGCACATCACAGGCAGTGCAGAAAGGCCAGCTCAATCCATCTTGTATTTGGTTTGGCAGCCACAACAGACCGTCCTGTACTCTCTGTTAGTACAAAGTATTGTTTCCTAACCATACAGCAAGTGAGAAAAATATTACCAATTTTAAAATTTATTCTTACGCTTGCCACTGTTTTTTTTTTTTCCCCTAGGGCTCAACGAAGAATGTTATGAAAGTACCACAGTAAATTATTTTTGGTACAGGAAAACTTTGAACATAACACCCGATGTCACTGAGAGTGGCACATTACAGTGGTGGCTCATTTTGTGTTTAGCAACTTGCTGGGCAATTGTCTATCTCTGCACTATCCGAGGAATTGAAACCACGGGAAAGGTACGGGAAGAACAGAGAAGTGCAATATCCCTCACTTTGGATCTTGCTCTCCAGCTACCGAGTTTCACCACCAAGGAGAGCCTTCCCCATTTATCACACTAGTACCACCTCAGTGTGCTCCTTTGTCCAACGAAGCGATAACAGTGCTACAGGTGGCTCAAAATGACGCTGCTTTTCCATTGCAAATGCTTCTGCCCTACCCATCGCCCCTCACACATTTTTAGGATCAATTTTTATACAAATATGTTCCCCAGAAGCACTTTGTGCTTCGTTTAAAGATGGCAACATTCATCTGTAGCTGTGTTATCTAGTATTATCAGGATTGTATGTTGCAATAACTTATATAGGATTTATCGATGTTATTGTCAGTTACTGTCTATCTGTCTTCTTATTTTAGGCAATTTATGTAACAGCAATATTTCCTTACCTGGTCCTAACTATATTCCTTATTCACGGCCTCAGTCTACCAGGAGCCACTGACGGTCTGGCTTACCTCTTCACCCCTAATGTAAGTATTGATGCTATAGTCAGAAATATTATTTTTCCTTTTTCTCCCCCTCAGATCTCATACTGTATATTCATTTTCCAGCAACTCCTGATCTAGCTCCCTATCCAAGAGCTCAGCTAAGCTTGTTTTTCTGAGATGAAGTGATTTAGTATTTTAATATATTTTAGCAAGCAAAGAAGCAGCAAAGCATTTAACAGTTCAGTAATAAGCATATCGGAAAATACTGGAAGATTGAGCATGTTAGGGGTGCCTCAGTCTTGAACGTGTAAGTGAAACTGATGCATTTCACTACTAGAATCATCTTTCTTTTACACATGATAAAGATGGTATTTCCCTTCCAATGCTACAAAATTTACAAACTTTGATCTTTTAAGAATTCACAAGGAAAAGAACTGAGGAATTACACTGCAAAGTGATGTTTATTTATTTTTTTTAGGGTTACAAGTAATTGTCTCCTATCCCTGTTTCTCCATAGCTGAAGTTTTCCCTTCCCTGTAGCTGTCCCTAAAAGACAGAACTGCTGGAGAATATTCCTCTCCCATTTTTTGTCATCTCCTCAAAGGGACAGGAGGCCCAGATCCCTCCATATGCTGGCCATTTCAGAAGGACCTCTCTACACTGTCCTTAGTAGCCTTCCCAAATGCAAAGTCAAATTGTCCCACCAAGCGGTTGCTATCAATCGTAGGCTCCTCACAGCTCTGCATTTCGTGCTAAAATGCTCTGTAAAGCGGTGAGTATAGAGGAGGAAAAGCAGCACCCACTGACAGATGGTCTCAGAGCATCCTCTGCCTCCGCAGCCACAGCAGTGCTTCCCACCACAGCAGCCCCGGCTATTTCCCTTCCCCTTCCTACAACAGGAACACAAGCATTAAGGGAACATAAGCCAAGAAGCCCAGAGATACGTTACATGCCAGCCTGGAAAGGGACAACAGCACAAGAAAGCTCAGATGAGATGCCCCTTTTATCCCTCCCCCTGCAAGCCCAGTGGCACAGGCATCTGAACCATCTGAATGCTGCCAGAGCTCAAAACGGACAACCTGAGTCTTTACAGGAGATCAGGATGTGCACTTCCATTTCTGTAGGGCCCAGACAGGACAATAAGTGCTTGGTGCAATGTCTAAATGAAGAAAGCAAGTTAGACAACGCAACCAGAACAGGACTTGGCCTTTGGTCTCAGCCCGTCTGTCGGGTTTCTCCAGAAGAGCTCAGGCATCTTCGGGACCTACGACCATTGCACAGTGAACTTAACGCAAAACCTAGATTTGTGTGTATTCACAAAGCCTGGAGGTATTGCAGTGCTGAGGTGGAGCAGATCATCATAACAGAAGAGCCCAGATGGTTTCGTAGACCGGCATCAGAAGTCAAAATGAAAATCCAGCTGCAATCAACCTGCAGTTCATGATTAGTCGGTTTGAGGAAGCAGATCCTGGGGACATCCTTGAAGAGTCATCTGAAGATGGTTTTGGTGATGAAACAATGTTCTTATCTACAACCATGGAAAAGCTGATGCAACAGCCCGGTGAGTGATATCTGCTATGGGTATTGCATAGAAAGTTGCAGTGTAGGACAGAGAGATGGCTTTGTTAAACTAACGTACCAACTGCTATGAAGGATTTTGACACTTCAAGGACTTCAAAAAGACAGTAAGCATACAGCTGCAACTTCTCCTTTCTCTATTCTCCCCCTTAGCCCACAACTGCGGTACCAGTACCAGTCTGTTACCTGTTCAATGAGAAACTATTCCCACCGCTGCCGTCAGTAAATACGTGCATTTTTCTTGTTACACTTCTCCACAGGAGATGTCCCAGAGTGAGTTGTATGGATGGGCTGTTGGTTTGTGGGCTTTTTTGGGGGGCAAAGATTTACCTGGCCCACCCAGATCACATTAGCTTACAAAACTGTAAAGCATATTTCTTAAGTCTGTGCTGTTTGCTTCTTCTTTTCCTGTCTTTTTGTAGGAAGCTTGTAAAGTTTTAGCAAAATAAAGTGAGAGTTAGCTCACCTACTGCCTGTTTCAGCCTGCTTTAAAAAAAATATGAAATAAAATCAACCTTCTTGACATTCTCCACTCATTGGAGGCAATCTTTTCCATCATTTTTTCCAACTTCACAGTGCAACAGAAATTGTAGTTTCTCTGTAATAGCTGCCGCATCCACTCTCTGGTAACTCTTACACCTCACTGTTGTTTTTGAAAATCTGTGAAAGTAATACCTAGTGCTAAAAGTCACATTTTACCCCATTTCAACATCATAATCACCCAACTGAATTTAGTATTTTTTTTTCCAAACACCATTGTTTAAGTTTATTCACTTCC